ATTGAGAGGAGCATCTTAAGTGCGCTCTGTCCATCCTTTCTCGACTCTTTCGAAAGGTTTGTAATTCGTGATTCTTCGTCATATTGAACGAACATTTGATCCCCATACATTGTCGAACTGTTTTTTTGAAAGTAGAATCGCAAGTACAAGCAACCCCTGAGGCACCATCGGTTAGTAAGTACATCCGCTTGGGTATTATATGCACTGCAGTGCAGTTGGAGGCCGCAGTGCACCTATTCCTTGCAATAAACTGGGCACCCGTGAGCTCGCATGAACGTCCGGATCGTTGAATAAGTCGGGATTTGTATTCCGAAGAACTCAGGGGAGCCCTATAGCTCTTGGGAGAGAGCGTAAAATTGCCGTCACCGTTTGAGCGTGTTTACTGTCGCAACCATAGAGTTGTATGTTCGGGTCAGAAGAGTATTGTCGTAAGCGTCCTGCTACTGCTGCGTCGATCCAGTGACGCAAAACATGGCATTTATGCCCCAATCGAACCCTCACTTCAGATTATTGAAGTAAGCCAAGTTCTCATGAGACACTGTAGTCACGGCGCAGTGCATGTGTGTTCCAAGAACTGCTGGGCCCTTGATGACTCATTCATGTATTGCGCGACGCTCTCAAGGTAAGAGATCTCAATACGTGTGCCACGGTGCAATGACTCTTGGGATGAGATGACATTGTCAAAGTGATTGGTACCCTGTAGGTGGGCATTCTTCGCATCCTGGGAGGACTGAACCGTCGCTGGATTGGAAGAGTTTTTTCGGAGTCTAATTTGGAGCGGTCGGCAAAACTGGATGGAAGCCCGGCAAAGGCTGAATTGAACATAGTTATTATTTGCTGGCTGCACTCATGTAGATAATTCGCCTAGGAGCGAATGAAGGCACTGAAACAGTCTATACAGGACTGACCAGTGAACATGAAGACGTGACAGCCAAGTCCTATAAACAACGATCCATCACACACGAGATGTGATGCTGCTTACTGTCGCTGCTTACTGGCTTTACTTAAGCTGAGATTGATCAAACAGTAATCGAAAAGGGGGACAGGCTCTCTCGAACATCACGCTGAATGCGTAGGAGGAATGATGATGGTGGATGCAATGTTAAGTTCGAAGGCAAATCACGCCTAACCTGGTTAGGCGAGGCGTGGCGCCATCGCCGATCAAGCCGCGCTAAACCACATTGATAGAGATGTGAGAAAAAATAAGTTGATGTTTAAATATATTTGAGATTTTTATATTCTGTACAAATTATCTAATTATATTGATCGCACTACTTGCACTGCTCACTCTTGATCATTGTAACTACTTATTACAATCATTGCAATCAGTTATATGACTTAGTATATTATTTGATCTAAAGGGTCATTCTGATTCTACTATGTATGTTCTTCTTACTTCTTGTTCAATAAGTCTTGAGCCATGCCGCAGGTTCATAACAGCTTCTAATGAGTATATAGATGATCTTTATATTATAGATAGTTAGATATAATAATGATTATTAGTTAATTTTTTGCACTGTGGCTCACTCACTAATGAGAGGTAGTGAGATGCACTTGGCACAGTTAACAGCAAGCTCATCGACGATCTCCGAGAAAACTGAATAAAATAAAGGATTGGACCTTGGTTATGGCAAAAACTCCTGCTTTTATTCTTTTTACAGTGTGAAAAGTGGATGGCATCGGCTTTGTGGGACAGTGGGTTGGACATATCAACAATTGAGTGACAATGGGATACATAACCTGGCTAAATTAACAAGGGGCAGAACGGCACAACATTTGCAGCATGCGATGATGATGACGCAGCAAAAGCAACCCTCCCGGTTTAGTGTCTTCCTAAACGCCGGAACGAACTACCTCTTGTTCCATCCCACCACACAGCGTTAGCACGTGGTGGATGCTGGAGATCGACTACTGGACACACAAAATGCACGGTGTTGCGAAGAGCAAAAGTATTGGCGAATCGATGCCAGAATGGATATCAAACTACGGCCTAGGGTGCCGTGGATTTTGGCTTCCTGCGTCACGGCACGTCGATCTGGGATTTTTACTACTGGACCATACCGGCCGTGAATATCGGTATCCCATTGTTATTTGACTGTGGTCTTGAGGGATAAAAAGGAATAGGAATCACCATGTCGATTGGTCTTCTTTAATTCGGTGTTTTCGCTCTAAACGCTGCGGACATGGCTTTTCTTAAGGTTGCCCTGGCGGGGCTCTGGCTGAGCTCAATTGCATCTGCGTCATTCTCCTCCAATTTGAGTATGTTGCCTCCTTCGTGCTATGCATAGTTTATGTGGCTAAGCAATTTCCTCTATTCGGTGACCCGGAAAACTCTTTTTGATCATTGGCTAATACCAACTGCCAGACTACCGCTCTCCTTCCCATAATCACCCCGATCTTGGAATTGCCATTAACAAGGTTCAAAAGCGGAATGTCCAATCCTCTCCATTTAAACCCGAGGAGCTGCACTTCACTCATAATGTTGCTTCTGGAGATCCTTACTCCCATTCGGTGATCCTCTGGACTCGAATCTCACCCACGAAGGAGAGCAGTGGTTCCAACGTGACTGTGACTGGGACGGCACCTCTGTATGACCATGACAACGACAAATACGTTGCAGTTTCTACTGCACCAGTTTGCGTGGAGTACAAGGTGGCAAAGGATGACAAGATGAGGAGAGTTGTCACCGATGGAGAAGTTTGGACTTCCTCCGATGTTGACTATACAGTCAAGGTATATATGTACAGTCCTATTGAGATCCTGTCTGCACATCATACGCTGACCTGATGTGACAAAGGTTGAAGCAACTGACCTCAAACCATACACGACTTACTATTATCAATTTACAGTTTGTGACTCGAAGAACTCTTCCCCGATTGGGCGCACCAAAACAACCCCCAGAAAGTCCGACAGAGTGAGGAAGGATATCAATCTTTCTGTCTTCTCTTGCTCCAACTATCGTAAGTTAACCAACCCCATTACTTCCATTATTTATGCCTTGCTGACTTGCGACGGTAGCCCAGGGGTTTTTCAATGCTTACGGAAATGCTGCCCGTAAGGACACTGCCGACTACGTTGTCCACCTTGGTGACTATATTTATGAATACAAAGAGGGTGAGCACTTACCTCTTATATGGTAGATATCAAGATTCCAAAACCTGACCTGATATGCTATAAAGGTGGCTACGGATGGGGATGGTCCATGGATCGCATTCCACAGCCTTCAGATCACAATGTCAAGACCCTGTATGTCTTCCACGCCCTCTTTGTTTCAGACCCATACTTTATTTATTCTAACCCACCTGGCAGACTCGATTATCGCATGAGATACGCCAGTTACCGTACTGACGCCGACCTCGTTTACTCGCATCAACATTTCCCTTGGATTACCGTTTGGGATGACCATGGTAAGGCCAATCACTTTTCGACTACAGCAATCTCTAACTAACCAGTTATTTCTTTGCAGAGGTAGAAGACAACATCTGGAAGGCCGGCTCATCCAAAATGAACAACACGGAAGAATCCTTCATCAAGGCCGGTGGAATTTCCATTGACCAATCTAAAGCAAATGCTGTCCGTGCTCATTTCGAGTGGATGCCTATTCGTCAGGTTGACATGGATGACAACCTTCGTATCTGGCGCAATTTCGAGATTGGCGATCTATTCAGCCTTATCATGCTTGATACCCGTGTCTATGATCGCTCCATCACCGATGTTACCTGGAATAGAGAGTACCTCGACGAGATCCGTGATGAGCAATCCCGCTCTCTGTTAGGGCCCCGCCAGGAGACGTGGTTCTACCGCCAGCTCCGAGAATCTGCCAAGCGAAGAACCAAATGGAGAATCGTCGGCCAGCAAGTCCTCATCTCTGACATCAGCTACGCCGATTCTAAGCCAGAAACCCCCTATAACGCTGACGCCTGGGATGGATACCGGGCCAACAAAAATCGAACCCTCGCAACGATTCTCAACAACCAAATTGACAATACCATTTTTCTTGCTGGTGACACTCATGCTTCCTACGTCTCTGACCTCGTCTACACCGGCCTTGGTGAATACGATTCCAAATCCGGATCCGGAGCCATCGGTGTTGAGTTTGGTGGCTCCGGCGTCACCTCCCCCGGCCCCGTCGGCCAAAACGGCACTCTAGCCAAGGGAGCCGAACAGTCCAAGACGTTTGTCAAGAACAGCACTCCCCTGCAATGGCAAGATTCTTACTATCGTGGCTACTACGAACTCAAGATCAACCATGAGCGCGTCATTGCGGATTTCTTTGGTGTTCCTGACATCCGCACACGCAACGGAAAAGAAATCAAACTTGCGACGTTTGAGGTTCTGGACGGTGCGAATAAGCTCACTAGAAATGAGAAGGGAGAACCTGTTGTTGGGCAGGCCGTTGGCGGGGCACTTAAGCATGGCGAAGTTCATCCGGATGCTGCTGTGATTGTAGATACCATGAAGAAAGAGAATTAAGTAGGAGGTATCCAGAGAATTATGGTTGGAGAAAACATATTACATATCCGATATTTTTGGATATAACGAGTTATATGTACTGTACATACTGTAGGTTCTTTGTTGACAAAATTCTCCCTTCTGGGACACAGCTGAATAATTATAATTTTCTCATGTTTATTTAATCAAGCTGATGACGAAATTATTTCCATGTCGCGTGATGCCTATGTTTCTGCAAAGCTGTTCCAGCTCGGTTTTTGTTGTGCTGCAAGCAGTTTGAACTTATCGGAGAGGAAGCAGTTCTATCCACACCATCTCGGCTAAACCTATAAAACTAAAATTGCTGTTGATTGGCCTCATAGCGTCGAATTTCCCCTTCAGGCACAGTACATACATACTCTCTTCTGGCGTGGGTAGCATATACATATGCAGGGGAAATTGAGGTAAGGTAAAAGGAATCCTGGCAAGAATTAGCTTGAGTCTGACTTCGTACCTCAGTAGGGAAATACTGAGGGATCACTGTCTTTGTGCAATATCGCTGCTGCTTAAATTGCGTCCTTTGGATGTGTGTGTTATTCTTTGAATAGACCCAAAAAGCCATTGTGGCTTAGGTTGTCTATTCTATAGAAGTGGTACAGATTCTTTCGTTTAGCCTTCTTTGACCATGCATTCCACCACCAAGATTTTCTCTCCAGCCAACAGGCCACATGTCAAAAGGCATACGGAGTACCCAGCAACTAATTCTTTGTGTCTTGCTCTCGACACTCTAGGGATGAATGGCTTGCGAAGATAGATAGCGCCATTTTTTGCGCTTGGGCATTCTGGACGCCGAGGACTTCTTGGAGAATCGAGGTTTGCCAAAATAAAATAGATAAACTCGACCGAATATGTTTCTGGAGTAATACCCTTGGATGCGCCACATGAGCAACTCTGGAACCAAATAGACACATCGGCCGTGCTGCTCTGGATCGCATACTTGCCAGTGCTTGATGCCTTGCATAACATGGCTGTAGCATCTCGTCTCTGGATAGGACGGCTGGCGATGGTGGCTGTAGTGTGGTCATGAGAATACGCCCTCTTTTCAGGGTGTTGCGACAACAAAAGCCGAGAAAGCCACAATTGCATTCATGTCTGGCTCGTGGTGGCAGCTGCAGTTGCTGCTGTGTTGTCGCAGCAGTTGGAGATATATATCTGCAGTGCCTGTCTTCACTCTCCCTCTCCCAAAAGAAAACCTCGTTCGCAGCCTCTATACATTATTCTGTATAGAGGGTTGCTCCACGGCCACGGAGCGCGTACATATTTATAAACAATTATGCCTTCTGACAGCTCCATTCAACAGTCTCTCATTGATACAATTGAGCGATCTTTCTACCGAAAGATCCCATTGAACTCCCAAGAGCCCGAGAGAGAAAAGACCGACCTCCACCCACCAGAAAAAGACTTAGGAATTGAAACACACATTTCAGATCATTCATATCAACCGCATCCCATAACCCCGGGGAGACCGGAGAGTACAGACCAGGTCCCGCCACTCATTCCTCGAGAACAGCAGCACCACTACCACAATCACCGCGAAATGTTCGGCCACCCAATCGGTGGGTTAACGTTTATCCTCCACTGGGGCTGCGCAGTCCTCACAGTGGCAGCTACAGTCCTGTTTGGAATCTGGGCTCCCCTAAGCTACCAGGAGACAAAAGAGGCGAACATAGGCAACGATGAAATGCAGCGTGCCCTAATTCTCTCTGCAGAATCGGCAAATGAGATAGCGACAAGCGCACTCCTTGCTGCATCACGACAACTACAATTTGCAACTGCGCAGGCCAGTGCCATCAGTAATTTGCAGGAGCAGTTGGCGGCCATGGGAGAGGTGGCGCTCTTACAATTTTGTAATGCGCAAACAAGTGGGGTGGGTTATAGAAACACCAAATGCTATATTTTGCTTTTGGTAGTGCCCAAAGCTGCCACGGCTTCAACTATCTTTACTCACACTCGTATCTTGCAACTTAGGATTTCGCGCCTTGCTCGTCCTTCATTAACTCCGCCCAACTTACCAGTCTGGTTTCCCAGATTGCCACGCCGATTCCCACAATTCCCTTACCAACTGCTTCTGCCAGGCCTACTAATTCCTCTCCAGGCCCTGGCGATAACGACAGCGGTTCACCGAGCGGATCTGGGCTGTCTATTGGCTCCATTCTTGGGATCGTTTTCGGAGGTACAGCTGCTCTAGGGATCGTCACAGGCTACCTAGTCTGGCGGTATCAGCGGGGGAGATTGTTGGATTCTCGGTGGTATTAATGAAGGGTGGTGCAGAGAGGCCGGTCTTTGTCAGAGCAATGTGATTATATTGGTTAATTGGACTGATATCCGTCAGCCGTGAGTATCATATTTCCGTACCTGTTCCCGCCCGTTATCCTATTACCGTGGTTGTATTTGATATGTCTCTGATCAACCGCGATGTTAGATAGCGATACAACATTGCATACGCGGAAGCCAATCGAACCTCTGTGTCAATAGGGAATCACTGATTAGTCTATGGATCCGGTATATTTCTTTGTATAATCATGCCCTTAATGTGAGGTAGGCCGAAGTAACATTGGCGCCCTGGCGGGCAGTCTTGAGCCACGATATCAAGAGAAGCCAGTGGAGTATCGATATATTCACCCTGGGTGGTTATGGGTGTTGTTATCCTTTAATTATTAAATTCCGATCAGTCACACGCGCTGTGAACATGGATCACCGAAAGTTTCGTGATTACTTGGAGGGTATTTGATCAAAACCGTTATGTGACTGTCACTTTCGGAACCCCTCCCTTATCCCTCCACATTCTCCAACTCATGTGCAATGAGGGCGTTTGGAAAATAAATCCGTCCTATGAAATTCGAGCTAGATTTACACCTAGATAATATGCTGATTGCGACACAACATTAGCTTAGTCAAGATGCGACCAGTCAAGATGCAAGAGAAGTTGAATGGAGATATTGTCACAATATACAGCACTCTAGTAAACTTTAATGGATTGATATGTATAAATAGAAATAGTAAATAGCAAGGTACTGTACTGTACAAGAGAATAATTGACAAATTATCGAGTCCGAAATAAAATTACATGTATACACATGTTTGGGCACAAGCTCAACAACATCCATGTCCAGGGTGGAAGAATGAGTGTCCATTTTGGAGTTGGAATGATTTAAGAGAGAAATAGGAAGGGGAAAGAATGTGATTGTCACAGACCCATCCGAAACGCTTGCTAGAATATCATGAGCTGTATAACTATTATAAACTCTCGTTCTATATCTTCAACTGCTTTTTTGGGGGGGGTTCGCAAAATCGAAGTCATCGCCCAAGAAATTTGAAGCAAGTAAGTTCCGCACCCCTCGGAATGCGCGAAAGAGGGATCGCTGTGTATGTGGTTGGATGATGTCGTGACAACCTGACAGGGCAAAGTTCGGTGCTTCACACCGTGCACACCAGAGCCATGGAACGCCATCAGGGGTTAAAGCCAGGCTGACTTTCGTACCTCAGAAATGCCTATTTTCTGGGTCGTCACTATCTTGCTCTGAGTGAAAACGTATATTGGAGGGCCGGTATTGAGTAGGTGATACAGTTGCGGTTGTCTGTTTTATGTCGGAATCGAGGTAAAACATCATGTTTTTCAAACAATTCAAGAAAAGGAAGCCCGAAATGAGATGCGAGAAACCCGAGAAAAACAGCTGAAGCTTCAAGATGGCCAGCTTCCAGTTGGAACTGGGGTTCAGGGGCTGCAGCTGTCCCATCCCTCCATGCTTGGTTGAACCAGCATGACAACCACAGGACTTGCAGCTCGTGTTCAATTCAGACAAGGCAAGACATTTGCCGCCATTGCATGCAACATCTGTGTGAAATCACGCGGGTTGAGTTGAGAAAGCCTGTGGCGTCAGTTTTATTCTTTGTCGGGGAATGCAGCCAGTCCTCAAATATTGTAGCCGCAGATCAATAGTACGCCGCGTATGGCTGCTCAAATTTTAGATCAGGGACAAGAAGATGTTTGTTCTCGCGAAATTTCCGTTATGGGTCCTCGTCGTGCCCTGGTTCTTCATCAACTAATTCTACACCGAAGTGCGCCTACAGATTTCCAGCCACCAAGATTTAAACAAGACAAGGCTGAGCGAGGGCACGATGAGATGGAAAAAATTTTCCAGGGTGCTGGGTTGGTTCCGTTTGAAACCCCTCAGGTCAATGGATTCCCTCCCTCTGTTCCACGGATCACAGACCTGGAAGATTTACCGGATTCTATTTTTTACATGTACGGCTCACTCTTGCCGTCTTTTCAACCACAACTCCTCAGGCCCGGCGTCGGCGTGTGGTTTTTGTCTCCCTGTTCATTGGTATTGACTTGTGCGATTGGTCCGTAATAAACGGAGATGCAAGTACTAAACACGGATCAAGCTCATTGCCCATTGTCATTGGCATATTCCGGTGTCTCCTGATGAAGTGCATCGTATTGCTATGTTCTGGAGAAATTAGATCGGATCCTTCAAAATATGGGCTATTCTCTCTCTTGCTTCTTTGCACGCGCTTTTGATATACAAACCCACCGGATTGCGCCATATATACCTTTGTAGAAAAGTACATATTGACCTTCATTTAAATAATAACTATGTCAAAAGCGGCCTGCACTTACTGTTGCTCCACACAATTTTGTAACGATGGCTGAGAGGAAGATTTCAATTCCTCTTCGTCAATTACGCGGCGTAGATGGAAAAGTTGCATCCCTCTGAAAGCCAGCTGTTATCCGCCACTATCCCGGTGGCTGTAAAAAGTAACGAGTATTGTGCCTTGTGCGACCATCTCCAAAAGCCGGGGCCACTGTAGCCAGTCAAGAGCAAGAGATGGAGCTAATCCCAGCGGGTAAAACCGCGGTGGTGGCCTAAGCACTCTGTTTTAGCCAACCTAGCATATGGAACGCTCAGTGTCGAAGAAAAGAAAGACGTTTGAGCCCTTTTGTAACTTGTCATCCCGGCAGACTCATGTGCAATGAATGTTGCGGCGATCCCTCTGGATGGCGAAGGATAATGTCGGCCTCGAAAAGAGTTCTCAGCAGCAGCGAGCAATAGAAATGTGCTCAACGGACACAGAAAACAGCCACTGCGCTACAGATCCCTGTGTTGTGATCCTTTAATCGGTAGCTTTGTGCCAATGAGAATGGAGAGTTTGAGGCTTTGGTCAGCCCTTCTGCCCAGGGATGGGAAAGGAGAACAGAGATGCCATCGCAGGGAAAAAGAAAACAAAACACTAGGAGCTTCTCCACAACTCTGAATGATCGTTGATTCTTTTGTCTTCTTATTTAAATCATTGACCGCTAACTCCAAAGTCCATTCTCCTTCTTGATGAGCCCTCGGAATCTGCTTGAAACCCCTTGCCCCGACGGGCAGACGGTCGCCAACGCCTCGGATTGTTCCCCGCAATCTCACGCACTTCAGAACAAGCTGTTATTGCCCCTGTTCTATTCAAACGCAACTCTCTTGCAGTCTCCGCATGCTTCTCCTGAGTTGTCTCCTCGCATACATGAGAATGCCCATTCAAGGTCGATGCGCAATCCCTTTAAATCACCACCCCCTCACACCTTGCCTTTATCTATGACTCTCTCCCCTTATTCCAGTTAGCCAAGCCCAGAGACCATGAATTATCATAATGAATGGCCAGTGGGGTAGAAGTCTGGTCTTGCCGCAACATCAGTGCGCTTTCACATTTTCCGCCTCACTCGTCATGCCACGCCGTCTGTCATTCTCTCGCCAAATCTCCCCACCGACCCCGGATGGGGGTCACTCGAAGCGTCCTCGCCCACTGGCTGATGTGGATGGTGAGGATTCGGGAGGCCAGCAGAAAAAGAAACGTCGTCTGCGTCTCGTTCTCGTCACCTCCCGACTCAGCTCCCCGTTCTCCTCACCCCCAACTCATATCGTCACTCGGGGCTCGTCAAAGATTGCTATATGGGCTAAGCAGAAGGCGTTGGGTCGTAGTTTGTTAAGGAAGGCTGCCATTATGAACCGGATTCGAAAACACGCCCGAGCCAGCTGCAACAAAGACCCGAGCCAGCTCTACATAGTGAGACAGATGATTATTTTTTTCAGCCGTTCTAATTCATTTTGTGGAACTGCTGAATCCGGACTGTGCACGAACCCTCTGGCCCCCCGGGACAGTTCTACATGGACAGCTGGGGAATGCCGAAGAGCTACGAGCCCGTCCAATTTGCGGAACGAACATTTACCACCATGTAATTCTCCGTCACCGCCGTCCACCCCACGTCGCCAATATATTCCGCTGCCCCCATCGCCTTTATATTTAACAAATTATGATATTTTCGATAACGAAGACGGATACTTTGATAGTGACAGTGATACAGAGACAGAAAACGACGGAAGGAACAGCCGAGTATACAGTGATTTTAACATTCTAGAGCCTTCTGAGCCGGTTCTCGATGATCACGATGCGATTGCTAGTTTTGACAGTCTCACTTTTGGCTCCCAGTTCCTACTGACGGAAATGCTCACAGAAGATGAAAAGTCAATTGGGATTCGTTTGGAACAAAGACGACAAAAGGAAGTGTCATTTGTGCACTTCGGGTTTTAATAGGAACATTCTAACTAACGCCCTGAGAATTCAATCGATGATTCTGAACAAACCCATGCTAGATACATTTAGCGTATGCCTATTTGGTTTTCATTCAAGATCGCACCAAGTTGCCCGAACGTCTGCCAGAAACCCATTTTATGCTTTTTCCAGGTCTACTTACACCGTTGCGGCTACACCTGGACTTCGTTCGAGGGACAAATTGACCAGTCCAGCTAGTTTTTGAAGCGGTATATAGTACCTTACAGCTACATTTTCTGCCAATCGACACCTGGATCAATGTCAATATCAACGGAATTTCTGTCACCGTTTTCTTATCGCATTTTCACCAACTCCCAACTCCCCCTCTCACCATCCCCCCCCCCGGCCTTATAGGTTGTTTAGCTGTTCCTAAAAGTTAGCAACTCAACCAAGGTCAACCGAAAACGTAAAGGCAGCCTCGTAATCCCCTATCCACAGATCCCTCCGCCGGCTATTCAATCCGTCTCCCATATCCGAATCGATATACTTAGCTACCAGTTACGAGCTGTGCCGACCACATTGGACACGTAACTACACAAATACACTATAGGTTTGGGTACTACATTTCAGACCCGCTTTTTCGCTCCTATCGAA